CTGTCCTGACAAGCCTTTGGTGCAGGAGTTTCTAAATCTGTTACAATCTTTAAACCTTGTGCAAAATGTTGTTGGTCCAACTCATCAACAGGGCCATACACTTGATTTAGTTTTGTCTCACGGTTTATCTGTGGTTAATCTGGAAATTGGGGATGCTATTGTTTCAGATCACAAACCCATTTCATTCCAAACCTCTGTTATTCATGAGTCTAAATCCCCCGCTCCAGCCAAGAGTTGTCGGATATTTAACTCTTCAACCGCTGCTCTTTTTCCTCTGCATTCCTTACTGATGCTGCTTCAGTCCCTGAAACCTCTGCCTGTATTAGTACGCAGGATCTGCTCAGTAGGCATGATGCGACCTGCTCTAAGATTTTAGACCTCGTGGCCCCGCTAAAAATCAGGCAACCAAAGCGTGCACCACAGCCCTGGTTGAACGCGACCACTCGAGCGGCCAAACGTCTATGCAGGAGAGCTGAACGCAAGTGGAAAAGGACAAATTACAGGTTTCTTTTATTATGTTAAAAACATGTTTGAAAGATTATCAGAGCATCGTTAACTCTGAAAAGAACAAATACTTCTCCCAAATCATTTCTTCAAACAGTCATAATCCCGTGTTCTTTTTAATACCGTAAATTCCATTTTAAACGTGCCTCGGTGTGCCAGCATGAAGGCCTCCGTTGACATCTGCAACAACTTTACCATATACTTTGCTGATAAGGTAGAGTTGATTAGATTATCCATCCCCCAGTCCATAACTGACCCCTCTGTCTTTGTCCCTTGCTCAGCTGTCTTCAAACAGTTTGAACCCATTTCACTCCCATTTCTAAACAAAGTCGTTGGTCAGATGAAACCCTCCGGTTCCCCTGCTGACCCCATTCCTGCGTCATTTTTCAAACAAGTTCTACCCACGATTGGACCCTCTGTTCTTACTATTGTAAATAGTAGTATTGTGACAAGTGTGGTTCCCGATGTTTTCAAACATGCAGTAGTTCATCCGTTAATTAAGAAACCTGGACTTGACTCTTCGACTTGCTCAAATCTCAGACCAATCTCAAAACTTCCCTTCCTGTCCAAAATCCTGGAGATAATAGTTTTCATTCAATTAAATAAGTTTTTGAATGAGAACAGAATCTTCGAAATTTTTCAATCTGGTTTTAAGCAACTCCACAGCACTAAAACAGCTTTAGTAAGGGTTTGTAACGATATTATGATATCAAATGATTCTGGTCAATTTGTGGTACTTGTGCTCCTGGACCTTACTGCTGCTTTTGATACTGTTGACCACAGTATCCTTATATCACGGCTGGAACAGTGGGTTGGGATCACAGCTGCTGCATTATAATGGGTCCGCTCATACCTGAGTGGCAGGAGTTTCTGTGTCAAGGTTGGTAATAATATATCCACTTTCTTGTGGGGTCCCACAGGGTTTGATTCTTGGACCCCTTCTGTTCTCACTTTATTTGCTCCCACTGGGGTCCATCCTGAGGAAACATGGTCTTTCATTCCATTGACAGATCTACCTGCCTGTGAAAGCAGGAAGTGTTTGGTCCATTCACCCTCTGTTAAAATGTATGGATGACATTAAGGCCTGGATGGCTTCAAATTTCTTAAGTTTTAACAATGACAAGACTGAAGTCATTGTTTTTAGCCCTAGCTCAACTGCCACCACTGATCCTGTCAAAACTGGACTCACTTCAGCCACATCTGAAGCAGTCTGGTAAAAATCTCGGGATGGTTTTAGACTCTGACTTCAAGTTTGACAAACAAATCATCTCTGTTCTGCAGAAAAGCTTCTTCCAACTCAGACAGGTAGCTAAGCTCAAGCCAGTGTTGTCCAGACCCGACCTTGAGAAACTAGTCCACACCTTTGTCACGACCCGATTGGACTATTGCAATGCACTGTATGCTGGGATCAGCCAGGCCTCCATCTCACGTCTTCAGCTCGTCCAGAATGCTGCTGCTCGGCTTTTAACCGGAACTCATAGGTCTGAACATATTACACCAGTTCTGTCGTCCTTTCACTGGCTCCCTGTTCGTACGAGGATAGTTTTTAAAATTCTTCTGTTGACCTTCAAATACCTAAATAGCCCCGCACCCCTTTACCTCTCTGAGCTTCTGGAACCTTACGTTCCCTCTCGGACCATGAGATCATCCGATCAGCTGCTTTTGGCTGTTCCAAAAACAAGACTGAAGCTCAGAGGAGATCGGGCTTTTTCAGCCATGTGCCCCAAACTCTGGAACAACCTGCCCCCCAACATCAGGCAGGCCACCTCCATTCCTCACTTCAAATCCCTGCTAAAAACACATCTGTTCTCTCAGGCATTTCATACAGTGTAAATTGATATAGTGTTTTTTAATCTGTGACCCTATGTTTTAAATGCTTTTTATTAATGTTTCAGTTATTATTATTAGTATATTGTATATATATATATATATATATATATATATGTTTATATATTTTTCTCTTTAATTTACTCATTGATTGTTGTTGTTGTTAAGCACTTTGATAACAGGTTCCGTTTTAAATGTGCTCTATAAATAAACCTGACTTGACTTGACTATTCTAAATTGTCTAGTCGGCCTGTCACACCAGTGGCCTGTCATCACTTTATCACATTATCAAACTGTGATGCCTGCCTGCTTACCCTTTCATATATCAATATGTACAAGTCTGCCACTACCTGTCTCATTGGTTCAGCAGCGTAAGAGCAGGCGGTTGACTTCAAGCCCCGCATGTCACCTTTGTCCTTACATAAATCAAACTAAGACATTAAGACATCTCAGATGCGACTTGAGGTATTTTGGGAAACTGTTAAAAAGATACCAAATGCAGAACTCACTGAAGACTAGATGAGGAAAACAATCAAACTGGCTAAAAGCACACCATAGGCAGATAACTCAAAGAAAAATAAATGTGGAAAAAGTCATAGAAAAAGTTTACAAAGCAGGCACACAAAAAAATCTCGCACCAACAGTGACGTAATGAAAAGCTGGTGAGAATAATACAGGTAAAGGTTAATTGCAGATTAAGACCAGGTGTAAACATAAACAGGAAGACTATAAAAAGTAAGCATAGGTTACTAGTTTTTCAAAGTAATTTTTTTTTTCATTTACCCTTTATTTATCCAGGTAGTCTCATTGAGCCACGAGGACTCATTTTCAAGAGAGACCTGTTTAGGGAGCAGATGGTGGGGGTTAAGGGCCTTGCTCATGGGCCCAGAGTGGGGTGAATGAAGGTGGGGCAGGTGTGGGTGCTTCACCTACCTCACCCACATTTTTGATGTTGTCAGTACCGGGGCTTGAACAGGCGATCTTCCGATCACAGACCCACCTTCTCAAACCTCTGCGCCACCACTTCCCCAAGTCATAAAGTAAATACTGACTTTAAAACTGAAATAACAGAAATGGTACAAGAACTAGAAGAAAAAGCTTTACAGAACCTAGAGTCAGACCCCGTCAGGAACTAAAAATGCAAAGCCAAACTCAAATCACAACTCAAAAACTATGAGACAATCCTCTCACCTCATATTGTACTGACTCATCGATTAAACTACTTATGACTGATTAACATCTTGCTTATGTCCATGGTGTCTTGAAGAATTTGTATGAGACCAACTCACCAACAAATCCACGTAGAAAGACAACTTTTCACTGACATTTGAACATGACAGGGCATAAACAATGAAAATTTGTCAGGCAAACTTTACTACCCAGAAGAATCTAGTCCACTTAAATTAATGTCAGCCCCCCATCTCTGGTCCCACTGATCCAGAACTAAAAATAACAACCCAAAGCCTGAACAGTCTCCTCTCTGTAGCTTCCTGGCACAGACTCTATCTGGCTGGCCTTTCTCTGCAGCCAGTATCAGTGCGATGTGCCAAAGTGACAACTACATGCCATGCAGATCCTGACTCTGTCCTCCTCTGTGGGTCGTTAGCCCGTCAGAGCTTTCAGTTGTCTGTTGGTCGGTCTGTCTGTACTCTGTTGGGTTGCTCCAATCAGAGGCCTCAGCCCGTGCAGCCCCTAATCCAACCACGGGCTTTACCCCACCAGCTCAGTGTAATCACACAGCTAATTCACAGGCAGACGGGAGGAAGGCAATCCGTGACGGACGTTTTTTGTGCAACTAAGAATGAGCTCCCCGGTGACATGGGGAGGTTGTGGAGCGGGAGACTGTCAATGAAGGGGCCGTGAAAAGATGACTTCAGAAAGGCAAGATGCGATGGGAATAGATGAATAGCAAAAAACTAGCTCCCAGATAGAAATAAGGAAAATGTTTGGTGTGAATTAAAAAAAGAGGACATAAATCTGCAGCACCCTTTTGCCAAGAGAATGTTGAAAGAGCCATTGTATGCTGGAACAGTCTATAATACTCAATAAAGGCTTTGATGAAAAGTGAGGCTCTGTATTAATTTGGATAAGAAACCTTTGCCTCCGTGCACCCTTTCTTTCTCGGCTCCCATCCACGACACCCCTGTGGTTTAAAGCAGTGTTTGGTTTCAGTTCAGCAAGCCAAGTCATTACATTTAAACATGTCACACCTTTCAGAGGGGGGAATTAACTAGTGCTGTTACTTCTTCATTCCCCACACGCTGGGACCCAGAGGTACAAAAAAAAAAAAAAAAGAGGTGTTGATATTTTGACATTGTCACTTCACGCTCGCATGCATGCCTGTGATGTGTGAATGTACTGTAGGCCCTCTACTCTTCCTGTCCAGAGAGTACACTTCTCATTAATTTATTCTAGATGAAGTCAGAAAACGCAAGGATTGTAGCTTGACTGTCTGCCTGATTTTACCATCAAAGTTCCTGTAACAAATACAAATGGATTTTTCTGGTACTTTTTGTAGAAACCACAGTTAAGTGGAAACAAATATCTTAATTATCACAACAAAGGTATTTTATGAACTTTATGTATTGAAGAGAAGGAAGTAGCCAAATACAAACCTTCCTCTACTCCTGCAATCCAATCTTTGACTATGGTTCTGGTCTAGGATGGGTTTAACCTCCGAAGCCATACAGGGTTCGGTCCTGTCTCTTCAGGACGTACACCGCATGCATGGCAGTCAGGTCTCTCAGGTAAATGAGAGAAACAGGTCTCTCTTGTAAATGAGTCATCGAGGCTCAATGAGACTAACCTGTATAAATAAAGGTTGAATGAATGAAGAAGTCACAGTCTTCCTCTTTGTGTGCTCGGTGTACGGGATGGCGTTACGCATCATGTTCTCCAGGAACACCTTCAGCACACCATGGGTCTCCTTGTAGATCAGACCGGAGATACGCTTCACTCCATCACGGTGGGCCAGATGGCGAATGGTGGGTTTGGTGATTCCCTGGATGTTATCATGGAGCACTTTTTGGTGATGCTTGACACCTCCTTTACCAAGACCTTTGCCAACTTTTCCTCTTCTGGACATTTTGTCTCTTTTTTTGCTGATAATACAGAGTCCAGTTTATAGCTCGAGTTGTGCCCTGATAAAGAAATTCTGCATCAATTATACCTGTGGTCTTCTTTCATCTCCAAATAACTCTCTAAATTACCATAAGATGACAAAGTTTCTATCCTTTGTTTTGTTGGTTTAATGGTGACAAACGTAGAAACAGCTCTATTATTCAGTGGAGAACTATTCAATATCTTTACTTGCTTCTTCTTTTCTGGGTCGTGGGGGTTGCTGGTGCCCATGTCCAGCTGTCATTATGCGAGAGGTGGGTTACACTACAATCACGTTTGCAAAATGAATTCATTAAAAAAAAAAACAAGTGTGAATGCCAGAGGGGACTCAACCAATTGGACCTTAAATTGGCTGAAAGAAAATCTGTCAAGGCTATTAAAGATTTGAGCAGACGAAACCATAAACCATAACCTTTACAAACAGTAAGTATACATGTATTTCCCTTATTTCTGATAGTTTTACCTTGGTAAAAGCAGCATCTTAATCAAAGATATATGTAAAAACAGTTAAGGTACTCAAATTTGTAAGCATGTATCAGCTGATGCTGATGACATACGGATATTTCAAACGACAGCCAAAAAACACCTGTGTCAAACACCAAACAAATGTGTCATTGTTTTGGATAATTTTTAGGACAGTTACTCGGTAAGAAGACAGGTTTGCTTTAATTTGTATCTATTTATTTATTTTCCAAAGGTAATTGTTAAGAAATTACAGATATACAGTCTTTAGAAGACTTGAAAACCCTTGTTACAGCTGAAATGTCAAACAGAAATTCTAACTCTAAGCAGCAGAATGTATCTGCCTTAAAGCCCCCTTGACACTGAATGGCAATCCCACCCACTGCTCTCTAGCCAACTTCGGACATGACTAGATTGTGGCCATTTTGAAAACCCTTTACTGTGAAAGCAAACATTGTTGATCTGTGCTTAATGCATCAAATATGTTTATCTCTTCTACTTTTTGCATCCCTGAGACAATCTCTCAAGTCCTTATCACACTCTTTACAACAAGAATGTTTTTTTTTTTTACAGTGATACTACCATGTTTGAAGATTGCATGATTTCACCAGGTCTCCCTCTGGCAGGACTGTTTGCAGCTATGTGCTTAAAGATTATGCCATGGTAGCATGATTCTACCGTAACAGTTATCATACATGTTTCCATAATCGTGTCCCAATCATAGTTCTAGTCTAGGCATGAATCCAGTGTGTTCTATAATCAATCATCATTCCTTGTAAAGGCATCCTTAGATAAGGAGTCAGAGCATTATCAGACAGGTAGTCTACCTGTCGATTCAACTGCACCCATACCTGTCACCAAATGTTATTCTTACTTCACAATTTAATATTTGCAATTGCTATTGGTCAAATTTGGTCAGAAAAAAAATGTTTATTAGATAATAAGAAAAAAGGAATATCCTGCATCCCTAGTAAAGAGAGAGGAATAATCTAATGAACATGATTATGTCAATCATTAAACCATTAACTGCTATCTTCTTATTATTTTGGCTTTTCCCTCATCAGGGGTCGCCACAGTGAGTCATCCTTCTCCATCTCACTCTGTCCTCTGCAACTGGGCTTGGGTCCCACACAAGAGATACACTGGCTCGTGCTGCCTAGTGACTAAACCACTAACTGCTATTGTTGAGTGTTTTAGCCCCATCAGCAACAAGTGGAATAGTTGGAACCACAGTGCATACAGCAAAGCTGCAAAAACACATTGCACTGTTTAGTATTACCCTGCCACTGGTCATTGTTAAATACTTCATGATAAATCTTCGTATTCAAGAAAAACATGCAAGAACTGCTTAAAAATCAAAACATGGACTTTGATTCTGCTTGTTGGTAGCTTTCCCTCATAGCATTACACATAAAAATCTTAGGTCTACAATAGAGATGCTTCAGGCTTTAATAATAATAATTGTAGCTGTTGGAATTTTGTAACTTTACATTATGGGATGGGTGCAGCTGCCTTCTGGTTTGCCTTACTTGTTGCATATTTTTCATTGATCCCAGAGCCATGATTGTTGCGCTTTAGGATTTAGTTTACACATATATGTAAAAATGCTTGTCGGTCTCTAAATCAGTGTTGCTAAATACTCTTTATGAACTCATTTGGGATGGCTGACATTAGTGATTTATATTGTCATTTGTCATTTAGGCCAAATCCTTAGATGTGTGATTAGTAAAGGCTTAGATGGAGCTACTGCATTACCTCGAAAAGGTTTACCAACAAACAAAAACAATGAACTTTCACTGAATGTTCAAACAAATGTTCCATGTCTCTTTTTCTAGTCATAACTCAAGAGCTTCCTTTTTTTTTTTGCCCTGCACAAATTGGTGGCAGGCCGACGGAGGTAGGGTGGGGCTACATTTTTCCTTTGCTGCTACCTGTCTGAAAAAGTCAGAATTGGATAATGGGCTTGAGGCAGGCAGCCAGATAAAATTTAGGGCTGTAATCTGTGCTCATTAGCGGCACCAACAAGTGTTTTGGTGTGGTAATATCTTAACCACTCCAGATCTTAAAGGGAAGAAAATGACCTGAGGAAAAGATGCAGGAGCTGATAGAATGAGCAGCTTTGGATAAACTGACACTTTTATGACGTCTGCTTAAAGTCTGCTTTTGAGTTTTTATGTGTGTAGGCAATTCAAAACAGAGACCAATAAACCCTCACAAAATATTCCTAAACACACCTCTACAAATTCAGGATTATATACTGTATTTGTATTGACTGGTAACCCACAAAAACAACAGCCAAACAGATATCTACTCTCTAATGTGTACACTCTTTTTAGAATGATACATTTTTCTAATCTGTGAAATAGAAATATTAATGTGCATAGATTTAAATATAGGGCTGGTAAGAAATCCTAACAAACCCATGATTGCAAAAGACTAAAGGAAGATATACCAAGAAAGAATACATTTAAAGTATAATAGCTGTCAATCCAGCCATTGGATTCAATATATAAGTTGAAGTCGTGGAGAGGGAAACCCAGAGACACGGGATATTTTCTCACTTTTACTGAAAGTCCCCAAAGTGTTCTCAGGCCAGGGAGAACTTGTAATTCCTCCAGCACATTCTGCCCACGGGTCTTCTCTCAGTGGGATGTGCCTGCAAACTTAGAGATCTAGTTCTTTTGATTGTGATCCAATTCTCAGGATCATAGGTGAGGGTTGGGACATGTATGGACCAGCAAAGTGAGAGCTTGACTTTTTGGTTTGACTCCTGCATTATCAGTACAGACGTGAGCAGTACCATCATTACTATGGACGAAGCTTCATTGCTCTGCCAGTCCCTCTCTTGCTCCATCATACCACCACCTGTGAAAAAGACACAAAAATAGTTGGTTGTGGGTTCAATTTTAATCTTGAGTACTTCACACTTGGCTATTATCTACTGCACTGTGCGTTGGAGGGCGTCGTTTAAAGACACCACACCATAAAGATTAAAATATAAAACTACTTAGGTTCCCAGAATGATTACTTTGCATATCAAACTAGTATATTTTCTGAGGCAAATTATGTAAACCAGTGATGAACATTCCGCTCTTTTTACATTTTGAGACAAAACCCAGGAATTCAGAAATCATGAAATTTTACATAGCAGTAAATTGTATAAAATTTTATATTTATTTTAGATCATATGTCAAGTGCAAGTATCTTTATTGTCATTCACAACATGTGGTACAAGAGGTGCAATATATATATATATATATATAAATGTGTGTGTGTGTGTGTGTCTGTGTGTGTATATAATCAAAAATATATATAAAATTTAATCAAATGTACCGATATATGTAATTCAAGCTTAATCATTTGGTCATTTATCTGAGGTTGTGGGATAAAAATATTCAAAAAAGGAAATAGTAAACTTTTATGTGGTGTAAATTTACTACAAAACAACTATTCCAAACAAATTATTTATCTGCAGTTATTCTATGCACATTACTTATCAAACCTCCAAAGTCTATGTTGTCCATTTGTGAAAACATTGTAGCAAAAATCATTGGTGCCAGATGAAGAAATGGACCAAAGCAAACAAGAACAACAAAATAACCTTAAAAAAAAAAAAAAAACTGAACAGGAGCGAGTGAGAGGAACAAAATCAAAAACTGAGAAAGAGAAAAAAAAAATTGTGGCTCTAAAAAACCAGTGATCAGGTGTGGATGTGTTTCTTCCTGCCACACATGTACACACTTGAACACTAGAAACACGCATGCACAAACTATGGAAGCAGAAGAGGGTGGGTGGTGAAGTTGGGGGAGGGGGGGAGGGGTCAAACCACCACCAGAGGAAGATGCTGCTCCAGAAGCCTTTATTAACTCGACTTACAACTCCTGCTTTTAACCACAGCTAGGTCATGTCACACATAGAAGGAAACAGACACACACAAACACAGGAGATGAGAAACACGCCACCATATTGGACAGCAACCAAAACTGTTGGTGGCACCTGCACTTGTGAGATGCTCCCTCTTATTTAGCCATAGCATTCTTCTCCAAAATAGCTGTAAGCACTCAAAAAGCACATCTGCAGGGCTTGGTTTTGCATGTAAACTGCATTTAGCAGGACACAGTGTATATTACCTGTTTTGGTTGTGGCCAAACTCAAGGAAGGGGTGGGGGTAGGATTAAGCTGGCGGGCTGGAATCATGCCAACACACACACAAAAAAAATGATATGAAATAAACATACACACATATTCTCATACCACACACTCAGTCACACGCAAACACACACACGCACGTTCACCGTTTCAGCTGTGGCTTTTGTTCACGCCTATTTCTGAATGTTTAATCCTGGAGTCGAGGTGGAAAGTGTGTGAACATGCTAGCATGGGTTTTAGGTGTGTGTGTGTGTGTGTGTGTGTGTGTGTTCCTGAAACATTTCCTGTATGTAAATAACTGAGCAACACACACCTTAAACAATTAATCCATTTCATAATTGGCTGGTGTGTTTA